CCTCTCATCAGCAAATACCTTCTCACTTGCAAGACTGCACATCAACTGACAACGAGAATCAAGAACCTCAACACGAAAAGAGCTCCTGACAACATCATTAAAGTAAGTGCTTCCTTGCATGCTCCCCTGGGTACCTCGCCAAGGTGCAGCCATTCGGTTTTCTTCTTCTTGGTCACAATGAATAGGCTTTTAGCTGAGGCTAATTCCTCCCACCTGCACAGTGGATTAATCGCCCTCTTGCCTTTCAGGGACAGTGATCCATTCTTTTCCTGAGGAGTGTCATCTTCCTCTTCAGTTATGGATATTGCCCCTAAATATACAATGGTTCATACATTTTAATATTTCTCAAACCTGTTTCCCTCTAGCCATTCATTCTTTCTTTTTTCACTCTAACCTTCTTCAAAGGACAGGCAGCAGTCCACTTTATCCTTCTCCTTAACTCTTTTTATTTAAATATTTATGTCAAAGTCATAAAAGTGTACACTTTAAAGAGGCAAGTAGTTTAAAGAGTCAGATGATTCTTTGAGGCTTGTCATGAAAAACAATATTTTCCTCCCTACTTCCTGCTAACCAAGGTTTTTGAGGGGATGGCATGTTGAACTTCGCATCCAGATAGCATTCTTATAATTGTTATCTGATGTTACGGCTTTAGGTTTTATTTATTAAATGTAAACTGTGGAAGGTCCAGTTTTCTCACTCTAATTATATCTCAATTTTGGCTAGATTGTATTTGGAGTTTCCATGATGAATACTATGTAAATGCTCCCACAGCTGAGCTGTGTACTCTATCATGATTACTTTGCTTTTCCTGCTGAATATTTTGTTTCTCATGGAGTTAAAACTGCATTTTTGGAGGGTTGGTGGGACTTGATCTTATTATGTATTTATTACCCGTTCAACATTAAAGTCGACTTCAGTTTTCTAAATCTCTTTTCGGTGTGTTCAGATATTTTAGGTGTTTTGCTGTCTTCTTCATCCTCCTGAAGAAATCCTTCCCGGAGCCCTGTGAGGCTGTTCCGCTCTACCCAGGTTGCTCTCTCGGCTTGTGGCCCTGATGTCTTCTCGGGCTTTTTCTGCCCCATCATCCTGGGGACTCATTTTGCCTCTTACTTGTGTTGGATCCTCTTAATTCTGAACCCTATGTCTTTCTGCTTTACTTCCTTGTTTTAGTGGAGCACATCCTAGTAGCATTCTGAGGAAGAGCGCTTGAGAAACACATTTTTAGAGTTAAACTGTATTCAGGGTCTGTCATAACATGACATGACCAGAGTCAGTTTCCTAGTTGACTGGATGCCTGGTTTGTGTGTGTAAGTGTTACTAGGCGACTTAAGATCTTACCACTGGGGGAAGCTAGGTGAAGGACACATAAGACCGGTCTGTACTATTTTTGCAACTTGCTGTGAATCTCTAATTATTCAGAATCAGAAGTTTGAAATATGTCTCTGTTCGGATCTCCCACTTCTGTGGGTTTAAACACTAGGTTGAAAATCACTTTATCAGAAAATTTTAAGGGCCTTGCTCCATTTTCTTGTAGTTTCTAGTGCTGGCTGTTTAGGAATTTGGTGCCCTTTGGACTCTTGGACCTTTGTGTGATACCTCTTTTTTTTCTGTCCTTCTGGCAACAAGAAGGATTTTTCTTTTTCTCTAGTTTTTTACAATTTTATGGCAACATGTCTTTTTAGCTTTGAAATTTGTGTTGCTTTTATCTTTCTCTCCTTTTCTCTCTCTTTGTAGTCTTTTATCATTTAAAAAATTCCTTTTTTGTTTGTTTTCACGGGGTTTTAAGAGGGGACAAAGCCAAATGGATGCGTTTAAGCTGCCTGTTTTCACAGGAAGTTAGCCCTTAACTGTTGAATCTGTCGAAGTGTGGATGTTCTCCCCACAAAGATCTCAGATTATTTCCTAATTGGCTACTGAGTGGATTCTTTTCTGCTCTTATCCTATTTAACTTTGCAGTTAATACCGTAGTTTACTCATTCCTTCTTCAAACTCCTGTCCCCTGATGTCCTGTGATACCAGGACTCTTACCTCAAGCCGCTCCTTCATGCACTCCTGCCCTGCTCTCCCCTCAGCGTCAGTGTTCCGTGATAAATTCAGTGTGTGGTCTTATCCAGTTTCATGGTTTTAGCGATTATTTGTCTCTTCGTGATTTTCAAATCTGTATCTTTGGTAGATTTCTCTCCTGAGCTCCAGCTGAGTGTCACCACCTGTTTAAAGGAATTCTCACCGCGGTTGCCTCACTGACTCCTCACACTGAACTTGGGTCTCCTTCCGCACCTTCCAGTTGTTGCTGCCGCCGCCGCCGCCAATGGCAGCTCCCCTACCCCCACCTCCCCTTTCTTTGATCTGTTCTTTGGGAATGACGTTACTGCCTAGCTGTTTTCTCAGCCCGTTAACTGAGGAGTTTCCTCAACTCCTCCTCCTTGATCACCACCATTTGTCTGTCACCAAGTTCTCAGTTTTCTGTTTCCTACTGGGGTGCCCAGTGGCTAGTTCAGGCCTCCGTCACACCTGGATTAATGCAGTGGTTTCCTAAGTAGTGTCTCTAATTCTGGCTCCGTTTATTCTGTCCTGCAAGTTGCTGCCATAGCCACCTGCATGTAATCCTTCAGCGTAGGGTTCAGACTGCTTGCATGGCACAGATGGCCTGTCCTGCCTGCCTCTGACTGGTCTCCTGAAGTCTCTCCTCATTCCTTAGTTGTTGTAGCCAGACCATCTCTTTGTGCTTCATTAAACATGTCAGTGGTTTTGAACATGAAGTATATCC